GTCTTAGCAATATCTCTCTAGATATGTCTCTCCAGGCAAGGGAAACAAAAGTGATAGCAAACAAATGGGATTATATCAAACTAAAAACTTTTGCACAGCAAAGGAAACCATTAACAAAATAAAAAGACAACCTACTGAATGGGAAAAGATATTTGCAAATAATATACCTGATAAGTAGTTATATCCAAAATACATAAAGAAGTCATACAATTCAGAAACAAAAACCTAAAGAACCCAATTAAAAAATGGGCAGAGGAATTTAACCAGCATTTTTCCAAAAAAGACATGCAGATGGGCAACAGGCACATAAAAAGATATTCAATATTACTAATTACTAGGGAAATGCAAATTAAAATCACAATGATATATTACTTCATGTTTGTTAGGTTGACATTATCAAAAAGCTAAGAAATAACAAAAGTTGGCAAGGATACAGGAAAAGGTAGGAATGGAATTTGTGCAGCCATCCTGGAACACAATATATAGATTCCTGTAAATATTAAATTTTTATGAATAGAACTACTATATGATCCAGCTATCCCACTTCTGCATCTTTATCCAAAGAACTATATAAAAGCACTAATTTGAAAAGCTATATCCACCTGTATATTTACTGTGGCATTATATACAATAGCCAATATATGGAAACAAGCTAAGTGCCCATCAATGGATACATGGATAAAGAAGAAGTGGTGTATATAAAGATGTGTGTGTGTGTGTGTGTGTGTGTGTGTGTGTGTGTGTGTGATGGAATACTACTTAGACATAAAGATAACATTTTGCCAACTGTGACAACATGAATGGACCTCGGTATTTTGCCAGGTGAAATAAGTCAGACAGAGAAAGGCAAAGCCATATGATTTTATCATATGTGAAATATAACAAAGTAAAAGAACAAATTCAACAAAAACCCCCGACCTTGTAGGGAACAGAGTAGTGTTTACCAGAGGGAGAGGATCAAATGGGTAAAGGGGATCTAATGTATGGTGATCAATGGAACCTAAATTTTTGGTGTTGAGCACACTGTAGGGTATGTAGAAGTATAGATATAATGTTGTATGCTTGAAAAAATAAATTGAGGTTAATTTTGAACTAAAGTTTCAAAAAATTCAGATTGTATGATCTATTTTTTCCTCTATTGGCTCCTGGCAGTAGACATTCTAGGGAAGGAAAAATAATTCCCCCCCAGCCTTCTGAGTTCTTACCTGAGACCCCTATAATTAAAGATAGGTTCATGAGAGAAAAAAACAGAAGTTTATTAACATGTATGCCTCATGTATACATGGGAAATGCCCAGAGGAAAATGAGTAACTCCCTAAGATGGTTTAGAATTCCGATTCATATAGCATTTTCAACAAAAAGATAATAAACTTGTGGAGAAATGACAGGACAAAATAAAGCAGATTTTTGCTTCCAAGGGTGAAGATAAACACTTCCTGAAGATAAACCTACCTTCCTGTTCATCCTTATTTTCTATCACTTGCCTTTTTATTTCCTTTACTTCTATGGCTTAACTTGAATTTGTTTTATTCATGGCTTTGATTAATTCATTCCTTCTTATTAGAGTACTGTTTTCCATCTTCTCCTGCATATTCTTCATATGTCCAAACAAATGACACCTCCTCTGGGACCCTTTTCTAGAGAAGTCCAGGAAATATTTCTCTGTTTCCTACACTACTCCCCTCATATTGTCTTTGTAATCTTGGTTACATTTTTGCTATGTTTTATATATGTACACACACACACAAAGACATATACAGTATATTCACATATAAAGTATAGTACTCTTCAGAACTATAATTAAGTGCATTGTGCCATATTTATACATACACATGCAAACAGTATATATGTATATGTGTATTTATATATAAAAACATGTATATGTGTATTATATACATACACACATATGTGTATGGTGACATAAATATGTCCTTTTTATTCTCAATGCCCTCATGTGTTGTTTAGAGAAAATGATAGGAACTAGTCAATTAGCTCTTGGAAAGGACTCCTTAGTGCTACCCTTAATCCTCATGTTACCTCAAAGTTTCCACTTCATTGTAAAATGGGGCAAGGTAATGATAATAGAGGTCAGTTCAGTCACTCAGTTGTGTCCGACTCTTTGTGACCCCATGGACTGTTAGAGGGAATGCCACAAAGATTAATGACGTACTCTCAAACATGAAAGAGAGTCAATGTTAATGAGTTCTGTGATGGTAACACTAAGTATATTATCTCAATTTAATTTATTACTATATGCTAGGATTTCAGGAGTAAAAGAGAACATTAAAAATAGTTTGTGTATGGCTGAGTCCCTTTGCTATTCACCTGAAACTACCACAATATTGTTAATTGGCTGTATCCCAATACAAAATAAAAAGTTTAAAGTTTGGGGGAAAAGAAGTTTGTGTTTGATGGGAAACCAGCAGTTGCTTAACTGTTAGACTTTCTCCCAATCTGATGTAAAAAAAAAAAAAAAATCAGTGGTTATCATTGATAATGAACAGATAAAAAAGGTTTTGTTTGTTTACCTTGTTAATGAGTTTGCCTGCTATAATCCTCACACTGGATTCAGTCACAAACATATTCACACACCTACATACACACATTCTTACACAACATGAATTTCACCAAAGATCCAGCTAAGTACTCAGTCAGGAGTATGAAGTGCCCTTGAGTTACCTGGCTCTGTAGACCTCTGTTGCTCCTCAGTGTTCCTTTGTTCTCATCTTATTTTGCATAACTGGTAAAAATGATGGGAAACAGACATACTTAAGTCTGTTTACTACACAGGACTTAGTACACAGATATTGTAAATAGCATCCCATCAAATTTAGTTTGATAAAAATCAGTATAGTCCTTTTGATTGAATAAGATACCAACTACTCCAATTTGCCAACGAAATTTCCCATTGGCTTAGATTTTTTTTGATTGAAAAAGCCAACACTGTACTTATCCACACTTCCACAAGAATCTTGGTTGGAGCAAACATCCCTCTAGCATTGGGTCTGGATTGGGAGGGGAGTCTTCACACCTTGAAACATGCTCTTAAAGCATAGACATCTTCACTCAGAATATCACGTTTCTTCTTCTTTTTTTTTTTTTTAAATATTTCATTCCATTCTCTTCTATTTTATTTTTATTTTTGGATGCATTGGGTCTTTGTTTCTGTGCATGGGCTTTCTCTAGTTGTGGTGTGTGGGGGTTACTCTCTAGTCACTGTGTGTGGGCTTATGCTTGTTGTAGTTTCTCCTGTTACAGAGCACAGGCTCTAGACAATGAGGTCTTTAAAGTTGTGGCACATGGTCTCAGGAGTTGCAGCTCATGGACTCTAGAACATGGGCTCAGTATTTGTGGCATATAGCATTTGTTGCCCTGTGGCATATGGAATCTTCCTGGATCAGGGATTGAATCCATGTACCCTACACTGGCAGGCAGTTTCTTGATCACTGTACCACCAGGGAAGTTCAAATTTTCACTTTTCTTGTTCTCAAGTGTTTTTATGTTTCAAATCACTATTTTTATGTCACATAAATATCCAATTGTTCCAGTACCACTTGTTGATAAGACTATCATGTCAGTATTGAATTACCTTAGGTAAAAGGTACAGATTGCTTGAAATACACATATTGCCAAAACTCTCTTAAGAAGAAACATATGACCTGAATAGCCCTACATCTATGAAAGAACTTGAATTTTTAGTTTAAACTTTTTCGCACAAAAAACTTCAGATTAAAGATGGCTTCATTGGTAAATTCCATTAAACATTTAAGAAAACAGTAATGCCAATTATATACAACTCTGCCAGACAAAGAGGACAGAATATTCTTCAACTTGTTCTATGAGTCCATCATTACATGGATACCAAAACCAGGCAGAAATATTATAGAAAATTAAAGACAGATTAATATCCCTAACAGACAAAAGTATAAAAATTCTTATCAGATATTGACAAATATAATCCTACTGCATATAAAATGGATAATATTATCATGAACAAGTTGGGTTTTATTTCAGGAATGCAAGATTGGTTTAACAGACAGTGGAATTCACAATATTTATAAACACCATGTTTATAAACTAAAACAAACAAAAAAGAGACCATCTCAATAGATGCAGAAAAAAGCAGTTGAAAAAGACAAAATTCATTCTTGATGAAAATTTTCAGAAAACTAGGAACAAAAGGAATGTTCTTCAATTTAATGAAGGACATTTATGAAAAATCTATAGCTAGATCATGTTTAATGGTAAAAGACTGAATGTTTTATTCCTAAGATCAAGAATAAGGCAAGGATGTCTGATCTCCCCACTTTTATCCAAAATACTGGAGTTTCTAGTCAGTGCAATAATGCAGAAAAAGAAATAAAATACATTTAATTTTAAATGAGAGAAGTAAAATATCTTTATTTTTAGACAACATGATTGTTTATGTAGAGTATATAGGATCTACATAAAGTTCCTAGAACAAATGAGTGCATTTCTATATATTAGCAATAAACAATAAAAAATTTAAAAAATTAAACTATAATATTAAAAATGCTTAATACTCAGGATAAACATGACATAAAATGGGCACAATGCTAAAAACTACAAGAGGGAGAAATTAAAGATCTAAAATGGAGAGATATACAGTGTCATGGGTTATAAGACTCAACATTTTTTGTGATGTAAATTCTCCCCATTACCAAACACACTTTAAAAAGCTTATTAAACTTTATTCAGTCAACAAATCTGGGCTCACTTCTGTATACCCGCCCATCTTTTTCTTTATCTTCAGCATCTCCAAACTTGCCAATTCAGTATGTGAAAATCTATTTAAAGTATAGATTCTCATCATAAAGAGAGATACTATTTTCCATTTTATTTAGACTTTAGTCAGATGGGCTAGGATTTATTCTTACTTCTGCAGGAAGGGAAACAGCAGCTATAAAATTTAATATATGTATGTACATATCTGTAATTGAACTTCTAGGCTGAATTCTGAGACCCAAATAAATTTCTTATCAATAAAATGCAAGTAAAACAGCCAGAAGAAGCACTGGGAATAAAAGAATTTTAAGCAAATTGTAAAAGGGTTGGGGTCTTTTAGCTTCACTGACAGCTCTTGTCCTGGTTGGCTTTAATGTCCTGTCCCATTGGGTCAGAATGGCATTTCTGGCCCCATCCCACTTCCCTGGTCCCATCAGTCGGAACTGGTATGGACTACAAGGACCAAAGTACACCTCCAGGGCCAGCTGGGGATCAGTCAGGAAGAGCCATGGTATGTTAGGTTTGGCCCCTATGAAGGAGCCCAGTTCATCCATGTATGTGATGTAATCTGTCTGCAGAGTCTGGCTCTGGCCAAACCTGAGGAAACAAAAGAATACATTGGAGTGAGTGCCACAGTTGTAAACAGAGGCACAAGTTTCATTTTTTTACTTTCAGAAAAGTAGCATTTTAGTCAACACCTCCAGTAATACCCCTGACTCCTCTCTTTTCTCACAACATAGAATGCATCATATGTTCTTTGACTTAAATGACCTGGTTTTGTTTTTTCCTCTCCTTTCTAACCTCTATTCAAGTATGATGTCATTTTGGGTTTTTCCCTCTAGCCATGAAGCTGAGAGTGAACTGACCCTAGGGTCTCAAGGTGACTGATTAACCTAGTCTTTGATACATGATTATTCTTTCTATGACACTTGCTTAAGATCTTCTCCAGATTTAGATGTTTATATTGATGTGTTTTAAATTGGGTTTATGAATAGTTTTAATATTTGCTGCAATTTATAAATTGTTTCATACATTTAGTTGGAATGTGATCTCATTTGCTTTTAGAAATTCTTAAGAATAGGATTGACATTGAGGCCTCTCTTTCCCCTCTTCTTTATTCTTATTGGCTTCAGTCATAAAGGGTAGTAAACAGAGTAAGCTGCATGAACTGTTAGCACATAGGAGTGCTCATTTCACAGAGCTTTCCTGTGAACTGGAGGAGGTGCAGGGGAGGTTTTTTCCTTTGCTGATCTTTTAATTTTTTAAAAAATTATTTATTAGTTTTATTTATTTATTTTATTAATTTTAATTGGAGGATAATTACAATATTGTGATGGCTTTCTGTATGAAACAGGGAAGGTTTTGTTGAGTCTGAGTATACCCATATCTTCTCTTCTTTAGACCCTTAGTCAATGATTTTCTTGGGCCTTTAATGAATGATATGTTAGAGACTTTAAAGTAGAAATACTTCCTATATGGTCACTTATTCATCTACATGTGATCCATTATCTAATTATTTTTAATAGATTTTAATGTTTAATTTTAAAAGGACTGACTTTTATAGGAGTGATTAACACAAAAAAGAACACGTTTATACATCTGATATTGAGTCACTTAACTTCCTACAAATCCCATTTATGGTTACTTGAAAACTCATGATTGGATGAATCAGAAGTGACTATTCTCTTAGCAGAAAATATTACGGCAGGTGAACTCTACTTAATACTGATTTGGTTTTCTTGGTTTCTACTTGGTTATTTGGTTTCTACAGCATTGCCACTGCTCACTTTCCAGTTAGCTAATTTGCTGATAGACATGTGGCTGGTGGGAAAGAAACTCTTGGGAAAACAGAGTCATTTTTCAACCTCAGCACTATTGACACTTTGAGATGGATAATTCTTTGTTTAAGTGGACTGTCCTCTGCATCCCCAGTTTCTACCCATTAGATACAAGTAGCATGCCCTCTTCACTTGCAATGACCAGAAATGTCTCCAGATTTTGCCAAATGTCCCCTGGGGGGCAAAATCACCCCTGTTTGAGAACTTGTGTGCTAGAGTTATAGAGAAGAAATATAATGATTATTATTTGCCCATATAATACTGCTTGATTATAGCAAGTGTTTAAAAAATGTGAACTGACTAATGACAAGTTTATAGAATATATTAATGTTTTCCAACTTATAAAGGCAAATTTTAAGATTTGTTCATTAGCAAGTACTATCTCTTACCATTTGAGTTTCTTCCCCATTTTCTCCTCGATGTCATCCATCATTTCATTTGTAGTGGGCAAGGTACATGAATCTAAAAAAGAAATGAAGTCAGAGACATTGAAAAAGAAAAAGAAATCAGAAATACACAATTATATATGATGAATTTCATTCAGTGTTTATAAACTATATCCCCTAAAAGATTTTTTATCAAGAGGAACTATTTTTAGTGTGTTTAGCAGAATAACAGTTCACAAAAACAAAGATTTGAGAAGCCAATGAACTTGCTCTGGGAATTGCAAAGCTGGCCTTCCATAAGATAGTGACAGTGGAGAAGTATGTAGCTTCAAGTGACTCAGTCTTATACTTCTGATGACATTATGGAGGGCCTAATCCTCAACATGCCTCATGCATATAATAGCTTATCAGTGTCTTCATATTTCTTTCTGCATCCTCTTACTAAGAATTATCTCAAGAGATAGTCTGGTAAAATAATTCAGTCTAAGGTCCATGGCAGTTCAATTGGGACAATGGAAGGAAATCTGGATTTTCCAACATCAGCCTGTAGCCAAGGAGGATATTTTAAGTGATGACAGAAAATTTTTAGTTTTTTTTACAAATTTCACATTAATGGAGGCCTCTTCCAATTGCTAACTGTAGCTCATTTGCCTCTGTAATAATGGCAGGGGATATTATGAGATTCTCATGAATACTCCCCAATCATTGTCAGTATCTCACCTCAGCCTGTTGGTACCCTGTGGTCAGATATTTCCTGTGCCCCTTATTAGAAAGTAAGGGACCAGAATTCTGGTCATTTTGCTCAATGTATCTTAAGTGCCAAGACAGAGCTTGGCACATAACAGGTGTTCAGTGAATATTTGTTGAATGAATAAATGATGCCCTTAGTTTTATTTAAATTTTTTGGATATATAAACTGTGTCTGATCTTCCCATAAGACTGTTGTGCCTTTCAAGAGAAAAAGACAATAGAATCATTTACAAAAGATTTCATGGTGGGTTTTTTAAAGTAGTGATCCTTCATGGTCCATTTGAAATAGAAATTTACTTATCCACAACATGTTAAGAAAACATACACATATGCTCTATGATTGTAACTTTTTCTTTATTACCTATAGTGTAAATTTCTATGAACAGTATGTTAGGTAAGGTACAACTATACTGCCAAGGTTCTTGAATCCTTGAATAAAAGCACACTCTCAATAACAGTGGTGATCAATATGATTCAGTTCAGTTCAGTAGCTCAGTCGTGTCTGACTCTTTGCGATTCCATGAACCACAGCACGCCAGGCCTCCCTGTCCATCACCAACTCCCAGAGTTTACTCAAACTCATCTCCATGGGGTCAGTGATGCCATCCAACCATCTCATTCTCTGTTGTCCCCTTTCCCCCCTGTCTTCAATCTTTCCAGCATCAGGGTCTTTTCAAATGAGTCACCTCTGTTCATCAGGTGGCCAAGGTATGTGAGTTTCACCTTTAATATCAGTCCTTCCAATGGACACTCAGGACTGATCTCCTTTAAGATGGACTGGTTGGATCTCCTTGCAGTCCAAGGGACTCTCCAACACCACAATTCAAAAGCATCAATTCTTTGGCACTAAGCTTTCTTTATAGTTCTATTCTTACATCCATACATGACTACTGGAAAAACCATAGCCTTAACAAGATGGACCTTTCCCATCTATTTGCCATGAAGTGATGGGACCAGATGCCATGATTTTAGTTTTCTGGAGTAAATTAAATCAATATTTGAGACATTGCTTTTCTCCATGTAACCCTCATATTCTTAATTTGCCCACACAAACATACTTGTTGCCCCTGAAGCCCACGGGATCCAGATGGAGGAAGGGGGAGATTATCAACAGAGTATAGGAGTGGCCTGACACTGCTATTTTGACAGAGTTCACACCAATAATGTCTCCAGCATGCCCTGACATCCACCAGGGCCCTTTCAATCTTTGCAGTGTAACTTGACATTGTGGTGACCAACTGCTGTCCTTCTCTTGCTTTTATAGGCTTTCAAAGTCCTATCAATCCCACTATGAGAAGTTTAAGCTCTCTGACATAGCTTGTAAGGCTCTCCATGCTCTGGTTCCTTCCTTCCTTTCTTTCTTGCTACTCTCTACCTCGGCTTTATATTTCGTTACACCAAAATGCTTCTCATTCCTCACATACTCCATGTTGTCTCTTACCTTTATACCTTTTCCCATGCTGTTTTTAGAGAAAACATGTTATTTTTATTTCTCTCATGTTATGTTTAGAGACTAACTCACAACCCAGTTATCCTCACCACAACACCCTAAACCTTTTCCTGTTGTAGCATTCCACTTACCCTGTTTTAAGCTCTGTGAGGTCAAGGCTCATATCTGTCTTATTCCCTTTATATCCCTAGTACCTATCACAGAGCTTGGCATGCAGTATATGCATAGTAAATATTTGTTGACTAAATGAATGAAAGACAGAAGGGCCCACTTACTTGCAAATACTTTAACAACCCAGCGGGCCTGTAGGTCAGCCGTGGGGATGGTAGCCCCAAGGGACTGGACAAGGCCAATCACAGCCAAGGTTGGCTTCTCCAAGAATGGGGGAAAGATGCCTTTGAACAAGGTGACATCATTATTTCTGCTTTTGATGATGGAGTCATCAAGGAAGGGGTAGGCATAACCATAGCCTGTTGCAAATATGACATAGTCAATGGCCTCAAACACTGTCCCATCCTCAAACACGGCTGAAGTCTCTGTAAACTCCTTCACAGTGGGCTTGATGGATACAGTGCCACATAGGATGCGGGAAGGGAGCTCATCATTGAACACAGGCTCTTTCCTTAAGGTGCTGTGGAGAAACAAGAGAAAGAGGCCCATGCTATAAAGTACCTCATTTCCAAGAAATATCTGCAATAGTCCATAGCACTGAAACAAAATTTAAGCAGTTGAACATCAGCATGAAGACATAGAGGGCAACTAAACTATCTTCTTTTGGGAAAGTTCTTTCCTGTTGATATTAATAATCCTTAAGAACATGTGTTGGACATACAGATGGCCAACAGGCACATGAAAAGATGTTTAACATTGCTAATTATTAGAGAAATAATAAATTACAATGATGTACCAACTCACACGAGTTAGAATGAGAATCATCAAAAAGTCTACAAATAATAATTCTGGATTTCAGATACATACTACTATATAAAATAAGCACAAGGGAATGTACTCAGTATCTTTTAATAACCTGCAATGGAAAAGAATCTGAAAAAGAATATATTTTTGCTGAATATATCTGTATGTCCTCCAGCCCTTAGAAGAAACGGAGTAGTCCTCACGAAACATAGGTGATGAAAGAACTATGGTCTTTGTTGAAACTAAGAAAAAAGCAGATTTTATTGCCACTTTTCTTTGTCAAGAAAAAATATCAACAACAAGTATTCATGGTGATCGTGAACAGAGGGAAAGAGAGCAAGCTCTTGGAGATTTCCGCTGTGGAAAGTGCCCTGTTCTTGTTGCTACTTCAGTAGCTGCACGAGGGCTGGATATTGAAAATGTTCAGCATGTTATTAATTTTGATCTTCCTTCTACCATCGATGAATATGTTCATCGAATTGGGCGTACTGGTCGTTGTGGAAATACTGGCAGAGCTATTTCCTTTTTTGATCTGGAATCAGATAGCCATTTAGCACAGCCTCTAGTGAAAGTGCTATCAGATGCTCAACAGGATGTTCCTGCCTGGTTAGAAGAAATTGCCTTTAGTACATATGGTCCTGGCTTCAGTGGTAGTACAAGAGGAAATATGTTTGCATCAGTTGATACTAGAAAGAATTACCACAGCAAGAGCTCTTTGAACACAGCAGGGTTTTCTTCATCTCAAGCTCCTAATCCAGTAGATGATGAGTCATGGGATTAAAACGAAAATAACCTGCAAGTTTGTGGTACAGTTTTGATGCAGAGAAGAAAGTAGTTTTGATTTTTGATTTTTTAGAACAGAAGTATGAAACCTTGCATCTCCTATCCTTCTGTTTGTACTCCCACCCTTAAAAAAAATTCCTTACTGACTAGTTATGTGAAATGCTAAAAGTTACAACGTTGCGGTTACTAATACAAATGGTGTTAACCAGAAAGATTAAAGCATTCTAAATGTCTTACCTATTTCTATTGTATTCTTCAAGGGTTTCAGACATATTTCATGTCTAAATGCCATGTCTTAGTATAGTGTTTATTGATCCTAGAGCAAACAGGATTATAGGATACACTTTTGGTTAAAAATTATCAGGTTCTATTTTCGCCTAAAAGGAGCCTTTAAACAATAGTGTGTCACTGAAATGTAATGACAGGATTTTCATGATAGAAACAGTGAAAGACAAGCTTTTAAAAGCAATTTTGATTTTATATCATCAGATATGTGATGAACATGGTTGAATGTTTGCAACGTGAACTCTGTACTCAATGATACAGCTGTTTGTATTTTTAATATACAGACTTCTTAAAAATAAAGGATGAAACTCTTTCCCTGCTAAGTTTTCCAACTGCACTTTTAATTTTTCTTGTTACAGATTATAGTTCTCAACTCTTGTATTTTGAAATTTTGAGTCTTGTGAAACCAATGAAGTGAAAAGTCTTATATAAATTGAATATGTATAATACATATTAATACACAGATGCAGTAATGAAAATCATTCTTTGAGCTCAAACTATATCAACAGAAACAGTGTTGTTCACTCTTGCCATAATTAATTTTTTGATATTTTAATATTGAGGTGAAAACTTTTTTTCACTTACCATTACGTATCTTAAACTTACTGTATCTACGTGTACCCCAATGTTCATCGCAGCACTGTTTACAATAGCCAGGACACAGAAGCAACCTAGATGTCCATCGGCAGATGAGTGGATAAGAAAGCTGTGGTACATATACACAATGGAATATTACTCAGCTATTAAAAAAGAATGCATTTGAATCAGTTCTAATGAGGTGGATGAAACTGGAGCCTATTATAGAGTGAAGCAAGTCAGAAAGAAAAACACCAATATAGTATATTAATGCAAATATGTGGAATTTAGAAAGATGATAACGATGACCTTATATGCGAGACAGGAAGAGAGACACAGATGTAAAGAACAGAATTTTGGACTCTGTGGGAGAAGGCAAGGGTGGGATGATTTGAGAGAATAGCATTGAAACGTGTATATTATCATATGTGAAATAGATCGCCAGTCCAGGTTGGATGCATGAGACAGGGTGCTCAGGGCTGGTGCACTGGGATGATCCTGAGGGATGGGATGGGGAGGGAGGTGGGAGGGAGGGTCAGGATGGGGAACACATGTACATGGCTGGCTGATTCATGTGAATGTATGGCAAAAGCCACCACAGTGTTGTAAAGTAATTAGTCTCCAATTAAAATAAAGAGTAATAATTTTAAGAAAGAGGGAAGAAGGGCAAAAGAAAACTTACTGTGTCTAGATTGTAAGAAATTCTTACTAAATCATTAAATGAACCAAAATATTAACATAAAACAAGGAGACATAAATACAGGAGGACAAAAATAATGTTCAAGTGTATGTTGTTATTCACTTCAAATATCCAAAGCAGCATTTCCTGAACATGTATGTCTTGTTATAGGAATTTTGGTTAGTAAATGAGGCATCACAATTTAAAAGAGGAATGGAACATTCAACAGATTCTTCTGGGATAACTAGATGCCTACCCCCATGCCATATTAAAAATCAGCCCTGTGTGACATATAAAAATTACAACTACAAAAAAATACAGTTAAATATTAAACCTTTGACTTGGGAATGAGAGTTGACATTAAGCTCAAAGGACAGAAATCATAAAGGAAACAATGAATAGACTTGATCACAACAGAATTAGTTGCTTATTTAAAAAGGGTAAACAGAAAAGGAAAAATATCACTAGGACTATAGTGGATTATCAGTGTATAGTTATTTATGTATGTGGGTCTGTAGGAATACCGTTAGACAAATACACAAAGAACAGACAACTCAAAATGAGAAGTTTAGTTAAAAAGAATAAGCGACAGAAATTCCCTGGGAATCCAGTGGTTAGGATCCCGTGCTTTCACTGCCAAGGACCTGGGTTTGATCCCTGATTGGGGGAACTAAGATCCTGCAAGCAAAATAATAAACAGGATATATTAATATACTGTAAATCTCACTTCTGGAAAAGGCTAAATGAAAGTGTTTTCACCGTTAATTGTTCTGTCTGTAATTGTCTCTTCCAGTTGTTTACAAAGAGAATTTATAGGTCATTTCTGTTTTTATTTCCTCAAATAGCTTCTTGGTCATAGCCTGATTGCCTTAAAATTATTTTGAGTCATGCTTGATTTGTCAAATTTACCATCAGAGCTTTACTGAAAAAATGTAAAGAGAAAGTCACACATAATCCTACCATCATAGCAAACCAACTATAAATATCCAACTGTTCATTTACTTTCCTTATTTCTGGGTATAGATTTGAAAATTTTCTTTAAAAAATATCAAAGTAACAGATACACATATGACTAGAAAATAAAATTCTGTAGAAGGATTATAATAGAGCAATATCCTGCTCCCTCTCCCTTTCTAAATTGCTATTCCATATCCCACAGTTTACTGACTGTGCATGGTAAAGACCACTCACCTCATTCTCCCTTCTTTGGTAACTTTTTTCCAGTTTTATTGAGATGCAGTTAATATATACCACTGTGTAAATTAGGGCATATAGCATATGGTTTTGCTTATACTGTATTGTGAAATGATGACTGCAATAAGTTTAGTTAGCATCCATCATCTTATAGTAGATAGAAAAGAAAAAAATTGGTAACTTTAATATAGTTAGAAGTATACTTTGTGGGATGATAAAGACACCCTGCAACATCTGTAAACTATACATTTACATTTCCAAAGTTAACATCTGCATTCTGTAACAAAGCTCTCTTGTTATATCTACAAGTTGGTTCTAAAACTGAAAATCAATAGGGTTTACATTATATAATTTGTTCTCTGCATGGGCCAGTTAACATAGTCTGATTATCTTTCCTTTACTATTTATCCAATTTTGTCACCTCTGTGTTTCTAGGGACAATTACTATAAATATTTCACAGACCAATTTGCTTTAATTTTGGATAAACTCTTAGAGAAGTTTGCTTACCCTATAGTTCTATTGTCTTTCTCTTTTTGGGAGAAGAAATATGTGCTTTTCATCATGATATTTTCTGTGTTCAAAGTTAGTGTCTGGAAGCTAGATCCCCAAAGATGTTAATGTTCTTAAATTTTATGATGAGTGGACCTTTCAATTCTAGAGTATTTGGTGTGCTTTGCAGATCATACTTTTCTGACTCTGGGAGTGTGTTGTATTTCTTTGATAATTTCTCCTAAATTTTCTTTGTTCTTTATGGAACTCCTGTTGATATTAATCAGATGCTGCTGCTGTTGCTGCAGTTGTGTCCAACTCTGTGCAACCCCATAGATGGCAGCCCAGCAGGCTCCTGTCCCTGGGATTCTCCAGGCAAGAATACTGGAGCATGTTGCCATTTCCTGCTCCAGTGCATGAAAGTGAAAGTGAAGTCGTTCAGTCATGTCGGACTCTTTGCAACCCCATGGACTGTAGCCTACCAGGCTCCTCCATCCATGGGATTTTCCAGGCAAGAGTACTGGAGTGGGTTGCCATTGCCTTCTCCAATCAGATGCTGGAACTACAAAATTAATCTCTTAAGTCTTCTGTCTTTCATGTTTTTTCATCTTTTTGCTTATGTTCTGGTAGAATACTATCTTTAAATCTTTTTATCTATTTTTTAGCAATTATATTTTATTTTCAATAGCTATCTTTTGTTTTTCCAAGTGTTGCTTAATAGTGAATTTTCTACTTCACTAATGCTTGTTTAACCCCTGGAATTTAACCTGAGAAATCTTTTTTTTTTAATTGTTCATTTGTTTTCCTGTTGCTTGATATCAGAAATCTTTAACCTTTATCAACTTTAAGTTGTTATGGTATATAGAATGCTGACTTTAGGCAAATTCAGTAATCTGTTCATTTTTGTGCCTTTCCTGCCAACCGCTAGAGTCTAGTGACCTCTCCTCCTCTACCTGTTTATTGAGGCCTCCTCTCAAGTGAGTGCCTAGACACTTTTCTCAGTTTTGTCCAACTCTCTGCTTCCCCATGGACTGTGTAGCCTGTCAGGCTCCTCTGTCCAGGTAATTTTCCAGGCAGGAAAACTGGAGTGGGTTGCTATTTCCTACTCTGGGGATCTTCCCGACTGGAATTGAATCTGTGTCTCTACAGTCTCCTGCATTGAGAGGTGGATTGTTAACCACTAGCGCCACCTGAAAAGGCATAGGTTAAGAGGTGAATAATAAAGCTTAGATTTTCTTCCCTTGAATTCTTTGCATTTTAAAACTTTGCAGAGTCAAAGGTTCTGGCCCAAAGTAAAGAAGCTCAAAATGTAGAAGGTCAGGCATCAGATGCACAAATGAAGGTTTGGAAATCACGGTGCTGTTAGTAGAGAGGAAAGATGAGAGTGGTCCTGACTTCATACTGGGTACATGACCCGTCCAGCCCATCTGTCTGTTAGGGTCTTGGGTAGAGTAGTGATTGTTTTATGATTTAAGTTTTCAGCACTGATAACATAGGGCAGCAGCATTGGACTGAAGTTCACCCCTTCTTTACACTTTAACCTCCTTTACACCCCTGGCTCTACATTTTGTGCTGTTCCTATAATCTCTTTATTGGTCCCGTAACTGGGGAGAAGAGAGCTTTTAATTTTGTTTTGTGTGCTCATTATAGATTTTAAACTATGTTTAAAATGGCCATGTTAAAAATTTCAGCCACACGCCACTGTGCCTGATGCTATAGTCGGCGTTTAACGTTCAGTGTCGGCTTTAGATTTCCCCGCTGTGCCCCACGCAGAACGGGGAACCTAGTACCTCCTTAGGAAAAGCCCAGAATGGACTCGTATCTTGTCCCACGATGCTAGTGGTGAGAAAAAGTGCTCTTTTACTATCCGACCAACAGAGAGCTCAGCCTCTGGATCAGACAGATGTGAGCGATCAGACAGTTTTGTGTGGCTGTGGTCACCTTGAAGCAGCTGGTGCTGGGAAGCAGCTTTGCTTGCATCCCGGCTTGGTCACCGAGGCAGCTCTGAGCTGGTGGTCCTTCCCTTTCCCGAAGCAGGGCAGTGCTTTGCTGCTGGGAATGACAGCTACTGAGGGTGTGGGGGCGGCGGGAAACTTCCCCCTGGGGCGGAGCCGGAGGTTGGCTTCCTGGGATCCCAGGGACAGGGATAAGCAGACAGGAGGGCGTGCCTGCCGCTGAGAACTTGGCGCTGATCGCATCCAAGTGAGTGTGGGGCGTGCCTGCATGGTGGTGGCGCTGCTGTACTCCTCGGGTTCTCCCTTTAGAATCGAGGTTCCTAATCACTTTAGATCACGTTGGTTTTTTGACTCAAGTTTTACTTGAATTTTCAGGGGATTTATCTGTGCCCTGTTTAGTCATGTGCTTAGATTTATCTACCTATGTAAAATCCATCCCAAAAAGGTCAGGGAACCAAAGATTAAATGACTCCTGCTTTAGAGACAGTTGGTGGTTCCCTGAGGAATTTCTTGTAAGGAGAGAGGACGGGGGAGGGACAGTAAGGTGAGTGTGCTGGAGTGAACTGAGCAAATGATTTGTCCTAGAGTTTGGGGTCTGGCAATTTAGGTTACTCCTTTAAGTGCTTCATTAATTGTTTTGCTATAATTTAGGAGATTGCCAAATCATAGTAGGGCATTGAAATCTACTTCTCTGTGGGAGATTTTGCATTGTAAGAATTCCTTGGGAAAGGTTTTTTTTGTTTGTTTGTTTTCTTTTTTTTCCTTTATCAGTGTTTTCTGGGTTTGGAATCGTGTTTTTGTAGAATTCTTTTTCAGCATTCAGGAACAAAGCCCAATTTTTTCTTTACTGTGTATATGAATTTATTGTCCCAAAGTCTTGGCTGTGTCTATTTAACCTAATTTTCTCCTTAGTTTTGGCAGAGGTTCACCATGTGAGGGATATATTCTCAACAGGTACAAAAACAGTTTAAAATACTCATAAACTTTTATGTATAGGAAGAGACACTCCTGTTTAACAAGGTGGGTGTGATGCTTCATATTAAAGAACTAGTTGGAGTAGCCTTAACATTGGCCTTATTTGATGACTTGGGTGGTACCTAGCACTATCAATGATCTGGTTTATCCTTCAGCCTGCTTTTACATAAAAGAAAGACAATAGAGTTTTCTTCATCCAGTGTGCATCCAGTGAAGATGCTACACAGTGCGTGCAGTTACAATAAAATACTTTTAAAAGAGGCAGCCCTGTGTAAGAATGCAGAGTATCATAGCCGTATGCTAGTGCCCTTATATTTTAATGTTCATTTTATTCTAATACAAAAAATCCCCTACATACAAAGAAATTCTATTCCAAGAGCACATTCATAAGTCTGGTTTATTTGTAAATCCAACAGTTAAACTGGGTACCCAAGCAGAACAATCGGCTACACAGGGCTGTACTGTATTGGTTTATAATACTTATCACACAAATAATACATTAAAAAACAAAATTAAAACACTTTTAGTCTTATAGTACCTTGAAGAGTATAGTAGTACAGTACAGAAATAGCATACAGGAGCTGGCATTGAGTGAACAGGCAAGAAGAGTTACTGACTGGAGGAGGGAAAGGAGATGGGAAATGATAGACCTGAAGGATCATCAGCAATAGGAAACAGGGCAAGCTGCAGTTTCACTCATGCCTGATGTTGATGGAACTCATGTTTGCATCCTTCAAAGTTAGCAATTTGAAGGTTTGTATTAGGGAACATACTGTACTGAATTAGCTGATATATCAATGATCAATAAATAGTTGTTTCCTGAGAAACAGGTAGGGATCACATTTGCAACTATAGTGTTTGAGTTGCTTACAAATATCACAGGGATATGAGTGACACTTGTTAACTGACCATTTATCATCTCACTGTATCTTCATCTATTAATTGTTTCATCAGTCTTAGGATGTCCTACCACTTGAGATTTTTCATGATAATCTACAGTTGCTAATCAACTAATGTATTTGTGCTAGTTAAATGGCAGGTTCTGACAGTTTTATCTTACCATGTTTGTTCTTCAAGTGGATTATCTTCCTGTTATCAGTTGTATGGGATGATGGAAAGTTTGATTTCAATAATTTATTTCAGTTCTATAGACAGAATTGTTATTGCTGTAGCACTACAAATTAAAACCATCATTTGAACTATAGAATATTTTGGTGCCAAAATCAGTTCAGTTCATTCGCTCAGTTGTGTCTGACTCTTTGCGACCTCATGGACTGCAGCATGCCAGGCTTCCATGTCCATCACCGCCTCCCAGACTCAAACTCATGTTCATTGAGTCAGTGATTTCATCCAGCCATCTCATCCTCTGTCATCCCCTTCTCCTCCTGTCTTCTATCTTTGCCGGCATCAGGGTCTTTTCAAATGAGTCAGTTCTTCGAGTCAGGTGGTCAGAGTATTGGAATTTCAGCTTCAGCATCTGTCCTTCCAATGAATATTCAGGACTGATTTCCTTTAGGATTGACTGGTTTGATCTTCTTGCAGTCCAGGAGACTCTCAAGAGCCTTCTCCAACACTACATTTCGAAAGCATCACTTCTTTGGCACTCAGCTTTATGGTCAAACTCTCACATCCATACATGACTACTGGAAAAACCATAGCTTTGACTAGGTGTACTTCTGTAGGCAAAGTAACGTCTCTGCTTTTTAATATGCTGTCTAGGTTGATTATAGCTTTTCTTCCAAGGAGCAAGCATCTTAATTTCATGGCTGCAATTTCCATCTGCAGTGATTTTGGAGCCCAAGAAAATAAAGTTTCACTGTTTTCCATTGTTTCCCCATCTATATGCCATGAAAGGATGGGTCCCAGATGCCATGATCTTAGTTTTCTGAATGTTGAGCTTTAAGCCAACTTTTCCACTCTCCTCTTTCACTTTCATCAAAAGGTTCTTTAGTTCTTCACTTTCTGCCATAAGGGTGGTGTCATCTGTATATCTGAGGTTATTGATATTTCTCCTGGCAGTCTTGATTTCACCTTGTGCTTCATCCACCCCAGCGTTTCTCATGATGTACTCTGCATATAAGTTAAATAAGCAGGGTAACAAACTACATCCTTGACATATTCCTTTCCCAATTTGGAACCAGTCTGTTGTTCCATGTCTGGTTCTAAATGTTGCTTCTTGACATGCATACAGATTTCTCAGGAGGTAGGTCAGGTGGTCTGGTATTCCGATTTCTTTAAGAATTTTCCTCAGTTTGTTGTGGTACACACAGTCAAAGACTTTGGCATAGTCAGTAAAGCAGAAGTAGTTTTCTGAAACTCTCTTGGTTTTTTGATAATCCAACGGATGTTGACAATTTGATCTCTGGTTCCTCTGCCTTTTCTAAATCCAGCTTGAACATCTGGAAGTTCAAGGTTCATGTACTGTTGAAAAATCAGTACAGTTTATCATAATATAGATACTATGGATAACTTATGTAGCAAGAGTGATGCTACCGACGCATTTAAGTTAATTAACAACAGTCTTCTTGTAGTTTTCTCATTTCTCTATGGATTGGATGGCAAAGTGAACCCTACTCAAGTCAGAAGACTAAGATTAACCTAAGTTTGAACCTGAGCTCAACATCTTGTATTTGTGTGCTTTGGGGCAAGTTAACTTTTTGATCATTTTATTGGAAATATGATTTACATATTTTAAAATGCATAAACATACCAGCGTTGTAGGAAAATTGTTCCATTTGCTTCACATCCTCAGCAGTATTTGTTATTGCCAGCTTTAAAAGTTTAGCCGTTTACTGTGGTTTTAATTTATGTTTACCTGATGGTTAGTGAGGTTGAGCACCTTTTCATGTGCCTGTTGGTCATTTATTTCATTGTTTCTTCATCTGTTTACATGTCTGCCAATCACAGTCTTGGCAACAATACACCTGGGAGTCATATAAGGGGGTGGAGAAGAGATGGAATAAAGGGATGGGGTGTTATCTTACTGCTTCATGATGACACCAAGAGTTGTGAACTGGTTTATTGTTAGTCTTTTGAGTCACTGATTTTATCTATTAGGATGACACTAGCTACTTTTTAGAAATCCCCAGTACTTCAGTGACTTAACAAGATGGAGGTAGGTTTTTGCTCACCTAACTGTCCAAGGAGGGTATTCCTGCAAGGTAGGCAGCCTTTCAAATGGTTATTTAGGACTCCAGGCTTCTTCTGTCATGTGCCTCTACTATCTTTGGTACATGGTTTCCAAGGACTTTATGCTTCTCTTCATCAAGCCAGGAAAAGGGAAAGAGTGGGGCCAGGGGAGGGCAGAGGTGGACAAGAGGAAGATGTTTATGAATTAGGCAAAGAAATGGCATATAGATCTCTTTTCCTATTCCACTGTTGAGAACTTAATCACATCTAACTGTAAGGGAGGCTAGCAAGTGGCAGAGTGGGGCTTTGAACCCATATACTCTGGCTCAGAAGTCTGTTTGCTGCTCCAGTCTAGCGCATCTCCAGCTGCTGTGTGTATGCACAGTTCAGTCGTGTCTGACTCTGTGACCCCATGAGCTGTAGCCCACCAGGTTCTTCTGTCCATGGAATTTTCCAGGCAAGAATACTGGAGTAGGGTGCTGTTTTCTGCTTCAGGGGGTCTTCCTAACCCAGGGATCAAACCCACGTCTCTTGAGTCTCCTGCATTTGCAGGTGGATTCTTTACCGCTGCCTTGCTGGTACGGGAGAGACATATGTGATCAAAATATCCCAAATATCATTTCAGTATATAATCAGTATAAAAAAATTAAGGTATTTTACATTTTTGTACTGAATCTTTGAAATCCAGTATATATTTTATAATTACCTCATATCTCAATTTGGAAGCTGTTTTCATTGGAAATATTTAGTATTTAGATTTTATAAGCTATACTGAATATAGTGAATTATGATTTAATACCCAATATAGATTCACATACTCAAGTTGTTTCAGATATACTTAAGTTTCCCAATAGCCAAATCAAGTCTCAAGCTTTAGATTAAGTAAAATAAAATTTTAAAAATTCAATTTCTCAGTTGTACTAGCTGTGTTTCAAGTGCTCAGTAGCCACATGTGGTTAGTGGCTAAGACTCTTTTAGCAGCAGTGCAATTCTAAAGTCTAAATTCAGACTCTAAGCTCTAGGAAGGCAGGGACTTCTGCCTGGAACTGAGAAAGTGC